TTTTAAATTAGTGCCACAAGACTGACCTCTAAGGTGTTAAGAGGCCCAATTCTCTTAAACATTACAAGTATTTAACATACCAACATATACAGATTCCTTAACACAAAAATAATTTTACTATGATTTCAATTCTGTCAAACCTATTTATACTTAATTCTAAATCTTCCCAGAGTTGAAAGATGTTTACAGTGACCAAGTTTATCATTTTGCATGATTTTTGAGTTTGCCTTCTCAGTTTGCTTGAGGTTGAAAAAAACAAACAAATAAACTAAACAAAACAGAGATTTTAACCAAACTATGAATTAATTATTGCTGGCAACATTGATAGGATGCCCTGAACCCTGTTTATAGTTGTTGTTAAGGTAATAATAGCTACATAACTCTCTGACCATCTGTGTGACCATCACCTATCATCCCTGGATTCTGATTATAGTTACCTAATACTTCTGTGTATTCATAGATTGAAATTTAAATTTCTTTGGCTATTAAGATACATGTAAATATTTTCCACGTATCTCTAACATCTTTGAACCCATTGTCATTCTGCACTTTCTTATAGTCTTCTTGTCTCTTTGGACCATATGACTCATATTAAAATGTCATCTGATTGAATTCTGGCTATGGCTTATAGCTTTGGCTGAGTATTTGGACATATCTTCTAGGTTATTCTACTGATAATTGAACTTTCATTTCACTGATTTAATGAATATATACTAACTATCTGTTACATGTAAGGAATTTGTACACATGAAGAAAGAAGAGTACTCTGTTGGAAGCCTGCAGCATGTCCCCAGAATATCAGGTTGAATTTCCCATAGACCTTGCACTTCTAAAGATTAATTCTATACTGTTAGCATAACGCCAGTCACACCAGTAAGAGATGATAAGATTATACAGAAATGCTTTTATAAATATACCAAATATGTTTATTAATGTCCCTTTGGTCATTTTGAGAGGCTTTAATTATCCTAGTCATGCCGCCTTTGCTTATTAGAGACTTGTCTGTGGGACTTAATTCAAAAGATCTGTCATATTCAATTTAATGTCCTCAGTGGTAACAAATCTTTGCCCTTTGTAGGTAAGTTTGATTTTTGAAAGCTTTTGACCTTTTGAATTATTTGAAGCCACCTTGGATGAATTCTACTGAGAAACTCAACTTTAAAGTCAAAAACAAAGTGCGATGACAAAGTAGGAAGACACCTTGTGTCCAGTGATTTGTAAACTGGCTGGGAAGCAGCACTGTTGGACTAAATACCTGGCGGTACCTGCAAGATTATCACTTACTTTGAAGGCTGGCATTCATTTGGCTGTGTGAACCCTGGGGATTTTGTTGAAAAATCTGTCCCTCCTAGTGAGGAGAGCACCAGAGAGAGAGAAAAGTCAAAAGCAGAGTGTCCCACTCCCACTCATCCACTGACTGTCTCAGCGGGTCCTACCACCTCCCTGGGCCCTGGGTTCAACATCTTTAAAAGAATTCCAAAGAACCCCTCCAGCTCTAGTGTTTTGTGGTTTTGCTTAGTATCACAACCTCACCCAGACCTGTATGCACACTGTCCTTCTGTCACCACCCGCTGGAGTGTTATCAGGAAACCCTTTATGTAAACACAGAGGAATCTGACAAACAGTGGAATAAGCTATACAGCTGCTTAAGCATCCGCTGCCTAGTTGCCTCCTCTTTTTCATTCGGTCTTGGTACTTCCTTCATGCATATGCATTCGGATGAATATTTTACAAAGAAATCCTGAAAGAACTTTTAAAATCCATATTTCCTTGCAAATATCTTAACTTTTAAAATCCATATTTCCTTGCAAATAGGTGCACTGGACAGTTTTCTCATCTGTAAAATGAAATGAACTCCATGGTCTCTGTAAGATCTTCTGTATTATAGTTTTCTGGTTCTGTGAAAATATGTTTACCTTCAGATGGGACCTAAACAGACAGCCCTCCTACATTGGACATATCTGTACCTCATTCTTCTCTTCATTAATTTCCTTAAAATTTTTATTTTTTTTAATTGACACACAATTGTACATATTTATGGGATACACAGTGATGTTTTGATACATGCAAGGTATAATGATCAGATTGGGGTAATTAGCATATCCATCATCTCAAACATTTATCATTTCTATGTGTTGGGAACATTCAATATCCTCTCTTCTAGCTATTTGAAAGTATACAAGGTATGTCCGGAAAGTATCCAGCCATTGTTGATATAAGGAGAATGGTTATATGGCTGGATACTTTCCGAACAGACCTTGTATATTATTGTTAACTATAGTCGTCCTACAGTGCTATAGAACACCAGAACTTCTTCCTCCTGTCCACCTGTAATTTTGTATCCTTTAACAAATCTCTTCCTATCCCCTCCTTCCCCCTCTGTATCACATTCTTCTCTTCATTTCTTTTGCAGACCTGAGCAGAGTAGTGACGAACTGGTGATGGAGATTTTATCTGACATGCTAAAGCGGTTGCCACTGACAGTGGAGAAAGAAGAAGGTGTGGCTGGAACTCCAAGCACCTTGAAGGGCATAATGTCAAGCCCCATTTGGGAATCTCTTTCCAAAAATCTCAAAGGTGAGCATGGGACCTGAGCTGCTTCCTCTCACCTCGACCTCCTCAGGAAAGGACTCTGACATCACGAGGAAGGTAGAGACAGGACAGAAAGTTCCACAGAAGTAAAAAGACTGGCATAGATGGAAAGCTAATCTCCACCTCCTTTTCTCTCCAGCTGGAAGACAGGGAGCAGAGAAGAAAATAACGCTGTAGTTTGGGGGTTGGGGGTTGCATGGGTGAGATCAAAAGTGAAGAAATAATAAACGTAGCAAATCAGAGAGCAGCAGCTCTGCTTGGGAGAGTTCTAGGTCCTTGTTCCCTCTGCCTCTCTGCCTTCTGGAGCAGCATCTGGGCAGTGAGGCTTGGGCCCTATGCTGGGAGACCTCTTGATTCTGAGGCGCTGCGGGCAGTCAGGGCAGGCCCAGGGAGAGTGGGCCTGGTTGCCCCGAGTTGGTTCCCGGCCCAGCTCCAAGGGACTAAATTGCTGGACTGTGGTAATTTTCCCAGTTAAATTTTAACATCCATATTCTAACCCTTTTAAAAAGTTCATTTTGGAATCAAATGTTAAGCAATAGTCTGTCAAAATGGTGCTATTGTTGAGCTTGATCAAGGGCAGCAAATCCCACCCACCATGTGTTTTTGCACAGCCTGCAAACTGAATGCTTTTCACACTTTTTAATGGTTGAAAAAAATCAAAAGAGGATAATTTGTGACACACAAATATTACACGAAATTCAAATTTAGGTGCCCATAAAGCTTTATTGGAGTGCAGCCACACGTATTCATTTACGTATTGTCTGTGGCTGCATTCACACTACAAGGAAAGAGTTGAGCAGTGTTGACGGAGACGGTATGGTCCACAAACCCCAAAATATGTGCTGTCTGACTTTCTACAGAACATGTTGATCAACCCCTGATCAAGACACGTAAAATTCCTTTAACTTTCATATCCTATGTCCCTCTGTGGAAAGCCTCTTTTTAATCTGTAAAATATCAAAATTTTATCTCTTTTTTTAATCCAGATCATGATCCCCTTATCCATTGTGTCTTGCTAACCTTTTTGAACCAAGAAATTGGACGATTTGATAAGTTATTATTTGTCATACATACATCTTTAAAAGATCTTCAACTTGCAATAAAAGGAGAGACCATCCTCACACAAGAATTGGAGGAAATATTTAACTGTTTCCTCAACATGAGAGTGCCCACATTGTGGCAGGTAAGCAATTATTATTATTTCCTATTTGCTTGTTTCCCTGAAATAAATATCCAGATTCAAGGTAATGGTTAAGCTAACTGTGGTACATACACGTGATGAAATATTATGTAACTCTTAAAAGATGCCAACATCCTTTTGGTATGAATATATATTACTACAACCTCTCAGAGGGCAATTTGACAATTCCACTTAAATTTATCTTAGAAATGTTTATTATAGGACTGTTTATAATAACATAAAGCTGAAAACAACTTGAATATCTATTAATAGGAATCTGGTTACATATGCTATGGTACATCCGAATGTAACACTTCTAAATGTTGTGCCCAGGAACAATGGCTCAGTATTTGCTAATTTAGTGTTCACAGTGAACTTTGCAGAACGTAACCACTGCACATAAGGAGACTCAACTGTATATATATGTATAGGGGTGTGTGTGCGCATGTAGAGAGAGAGAACTGGAGGAAAACATATAAAAATAACTTTTTCTCTGGATAATAGAATTATGAATGATTTCTATACCTGCCTTATACAGTTCTATATTTTCATATTTCTACAATGAGAATATATTGCTTTTTCCTGATTCAAGCAGCCGAGACAGAGGGAAAAAAAGGAATATATTGCTTTTGTAAGCAAAAAAATTGATATTTTTAAATTAAAAAATAAAAACAAAGCAAAATAAGAAGATGAAGAGACTGCTGGGTCATGGCCTTAAGCAAAAGGCCAAATTATAGAAACACAAAGTTTATTAGACCTTAGACCAAGAATAAAATCAGCTATGGAAGATCTGGCAGCACAGAGTAGAAAATTAACCAGCATCATGTTGGACACAAAAACTATTGCTCCAGAAATGAAATTCTCCCCTTACAATTAGCACTGGCCTTTCCCAAAACCCTGAATCTTATACCAGGTTATAAACCTATGCAGACATGTGAAAAGTTGTTCAACATCTTGTATACTCAGGGAAATGAAAATTAAAACCACAGTGAGATAAACTTTACACCTACTAGGATGAATAGAATCAAAAAGAGATACTAACAAGCATTGGTGAAGACATGGAGAAACTGGAACCCTCATACATTCACTCATGGGAATGTAAAATGGTACAGCCACCTGTGGAAAACAGTCTTGCCGGAACCTGTGGCCTTCTGGATCCTTGAGTGTGGCCTTTTGACTGAATCCTTTTAATAAAGGGATTTGTTTGGTGAAGTTTGGATTTGGTTGAGACGCCGCACTCCAGGATCCGGAGGGCCACATGTGGCCTTGAGGCTGCAGGTTCCCCACCCCAGGCTTCAGTTCCTCAAAAAGTTAAACAGTGTTACCATTTGACCCAGCAATTCCTCTCCTAGGTATGTACCCAAGAGAAATTAAAACACGTCCACACAAAAACTTGCACATGAATGTTCATGGTGGCATTATTCATAATAGCAAAAGGTGGAAACAACTCATATGTCCATAGACTGATGCATGGATGAACAGAATGTGGCACATGCCTACAATGAAATATCACTCGGTCAGCAAGACGAATGGAGCACTGACACGCCACGACACGGGTAAACCTGGAAGCAGTGTTCTCTGTGCTAAGTGAAAGAAGGTCATTACGAAAGACACACAGCGTGTGATTCCATTTACATGAAATGTCCAGAATAGACAAATCTATAGAGACAGAAATAGATTATTGGTTGCCTAGGGGTTGGGGTAATGGAATTGGGGAGTGAACACAAAAGGGCACAAGAAAGGGTTTTTTAGTGGAGTGATTAAAATGTTTTAAAATTGACTGTAGTGACGGTTGCACAACTCAGTGAATATACTAAAAATCACTGACTTATACACTTTAAGTGAGTAAATTGTATGGCAGATGAATTATATCTCAATAACGTTATTTTTAAAAAACCTATGTGGAAAACACGAAGACAGGTTAGAGGAAGCAGTGACAATTATAATTCTTTAAAATCAAATATAGACTGTGATGAAAAATTGAGATGTGGGGTCACTTCTAGAATTACAGGACTTCAGAGTTTGAAAGGATCTTGGGCATCCTCTACTCCAAGGCCCGTGTTTTGCAGCTATGGAAACTGAGGAGCAGAAAGGCTCCATTACTTGCTAAGAAAGCCAAGTAGCGAAAGAGCTGGGACATACATGAGTGCAGAGTTAGGTCAACAGAATGTAGCCATTGGGATATTATACATGCAGTTACATGTGGCTGAGACCATTGCATACCTGACAGAGTAGCAAGAGCTGAGCGTAGCCAGGTGGAGTGTCCAGCTTTGACGACTGGTAGGGAGTACTGCCATTGAGAGACAAGGTGGCCAGGAAGACCTGCTGTGTGAGGAACAGATGACAACATTCCGTTCTGGACATGGGAAGGGTGAGGAGCTACAGGAGCTCTCAAGTGGGGCTATTGAAAAAAACTGGACAAGGGTATGGGTGTCATCAGCCTAGACAAAGTAGAGGAAACCACAGGCATGGATTAAACCTGGGAGAGCATAAAGTAGGAAGAGAAAAGGTCTGAAGGGATTTGGGGCAATACCAACCTCAAGGGAGGGAAGAAGAGGAGCCAATGGATGGGACCTAAAAAGATGTAGATAATTTAAGAGAAAGCTGGGACAGAGTATAGACAGAAGCCAAGGCAAGAGAGGAGGAGGAAATAACTAGTTTAGGATACCAATGTGAGTGGGGTGGGGGGATGGGGGAGTCATGAGCATGGAAAGTAGAAGGTCACTGGTGATTTCTAAGGAAGACTCCAGGAAAGGGGACAGAAACTGATGGCTTCTTCCTTCAGGAAGCCTGACTGTCAGCAAAGGAGGACGAGGCTGGGGGACCACAAGGCCTCCTCCTGCCAACTTGCAACAAACAAGTAGGATTGAGTGTTGGATGGTTTGTGCATTCGAGATAGAAGAGCATGTTAATAAACAAAGGGATGGAGAATGGAAAGCTGAGTCTGCAGAGGAGAGAGGAAATACTCCGGAAGGGCTGTTCACAGCACAGCGGCAGGGGTCAGCTTGACGCAGGACTGGGAGCAGAAGTGGGGAAAGGAGTAGACGGTGGGCGGGGGGTTATAGAACTTTGTATGGGGGGAGGCCAGGAAGCCGCACCTGCTCACACCTAACGGCATGTGAAGGTGAGCTCGCAGGGCGGGAAGGGGTGGGCAATGGAAGGAATTGGGAAGAGTGACAGAAGCCTTCAGCCAGGATGGAAGCTTCTAAGTGTTTTGTCCAAGGCACTGTTAAAATAATGTTGTTTTGCCCTGGTAATAATTTTCAGATTTTTCATTATTGCTTTCAGTTGGAAAATGACATCCTCATGCCGGATTGTTTCTCTCGAGCAATTGAGTCCATTACTGAAGTTTGCAAAAATGCTCCTAATGACCCCAAAGACAAATCTAAAAAGAAAAATTAATGTGACTGTCTTTAAATCCCAACAGAAACATGCCTACATGTCATGTAAGCCACTGAGTTCCTGGGTAAATGATCTCATCCAGCGACTGAACTTCTTTAATACGTGGGCCAAAGTGGCTTTCACCGCAATTCGTCGTCGGTACGGATGAAAGCTGCTATTTGTTTCTGCCCCATTTTTGCTTAAAGCTCAACAGTTTACAACATAATGTCACATGCATGGTCTCCTTGGTTTCTCACAGTAACGTGTGAATTAGGCAGGGGAGGGATTCTTATCTTCCGTGTGGGCTGAGGAAGTGGAGAAGTTGAGGGTCTCGTCCAAGGCCACTCCACTTCAAGACACAGTTACGATTAAAACCTAGTACCTTTCTCTTTCTGTTATTCTACATTGTGTACTGAGAAATTAGCAGGGGTAATGTGAAAGGAAATAAGAATTAGTTACATTTAATTTTTTTTTTTTTTAGAGACAGTGCCTCTCTCGCTCTGTTGCCCAGGCTGGAGTTCAGTGGTGCAATCATAGCTCACTGCATCCTCCAACTCCTGAGCTCAAGGGATCCTCCTGGCTCAGCCTCTCCAGTAGCTGGGACTACAGGCATGTGCCACCATGCCTGGCTAATTTTTATTTTTTGTAGAGATGGGGTCTGCCTATGTTGCCCAGGCTGGTCTCAAACTCCTGGCATTAAGCAGTCCTCTCCCCTCAGCCTCCCAAAGTGCTGGGATTACCCAGGTGTGAGCCACAGCACTTGGCCCCTAGTTACATATAATTTTTAAATGTGCTTTTAGTCATAATAAAAATAGCTTGAAAGGCATGGGAATAGCTAACATTTAACAAGCACCTTGTGATATGGCAGTTTTCTAAAAGCTTCACTCATACTAACTCACCTAATTCTCACAGTAACCCTATGATGTGAAATAGGTACTACCATTACCATCATCCCCATTTTAGACATGAGGAAACTGAGGCAAAAGATATGAAGTAAGTAAGCCGTGCAAAGTTTCATGCTAGAGCATGGAAGTATTAAGATTTGAACCCAGAAAATTGGGTTCTAAAGTCTGTACCAGATTGCCTCTTACACCATTTAACTAGAAGTGAGTGTTAGCAACAGAACAAATGCAGACACCTGACCCACATTTCTGTGCTAGAAATCCTTTGGGAGAAGTCTGTGACAAGATTCAGCAAGGCCCAGCCAGGATTCCCATGACAACGGCCTCCCTTGTTACCCAAATCCATTGTCTTCCAGCCTTTGGGGTCTCCCTTTTCCCTCACAAGCTTAAAACCATAGCTGGTTTCCACTCAAGTACAGGACAGGAGCCCTGAGTGGGTGAAGTCGAGGTGAAAAGTAAAGGGAGGAACCTGGGCGGGTGTGGAGGGACCTGCCCAGACCCCCTGAAGGTGTGCAACTGGGCCCTAACGACCCAGCCTATGGCCTGCCTTCCAACAGGTATATGAGATTTATCACAGCTTGGAAGCAGTCTGTTCCATCAAAATCCAAACAGCCTGCTGACCCGGAGAATTTCTTTGAAGGATTTCCTGCAAGATACTGGCTTCCGGCTTTCTTCTTCCCCCAAGGTGAGCCTTAGAGCCAGATCGGCCCCACTCCTGGCCCAGGCAAGCTTGCGCTCAGGGCCCCATCACTGCCTTCTCCTCCTCCCCTTAGGATGAGGAGCCAATGACAGTCCCTGCATCCCCACAAGTGCCTGAGTCTCTTGCGTGCACTGGAGCAACCTCTCCTCTCCCTCCCCACCCACTTCCATCCCTCACCCCAATCTCCTCACATCCCAAAATATAACCCCCTTTTCAGGCCTCACCTGTGCATGGCAGGGCACTGTCTCATCTCCAGGCCATTGAATCTGTGATGTCAAAGGCCGACGCTAGACACCCGCAAAGGCCATGACAGAGGACTGGAGATGGGCACCTTAACTGGGGGCTGATTCTGTGCTTCAGGCATTCATCCATTCATTCCTTTACAAGAAAGAACTGATGGCTGGATGTTTGCTGGGCCCTGGGCCCCACCTGCTCTGCACGAATGTTCAGTGGGAAAGAGTCTGCAGCCGGAATGTGTGGCTGGGGTATTAAGGGCGTCATAAAGGGGCAATACCAGACCATGAGCTCTGTGAAGGCAGGAACCAGGTCTGTTTTAACTTATGTTGATCCCTAGCACCTAATGCAGCCCCCAGCACCATGCAAGCTCTCTCTAAATATTAGAAGCATGAAGAGTGACTTTCTGAATGAGTATGTGCATGAGTGAGATACTTCTGCAGCATAAAACAGGGGACCTTAACTAAGGGCCAGGAAGGGCCACCAAGGAAGTAACCTCTAGGATGAGACTTGAAGCTTGCTGCTAGTTAAGTATTACCCAGGTGGGGGTAGAGGAAGGAGAGAATAATTAACCACACTCACACGGCATTTACTGGGTGCTAGGCACTGTTCTGAGGACTTCGTATAAATTAAGTCATTCAATTTCATGACATTCTTATGAGGTTATTACTATAATTATCCCTGTTTTCAGATAGAAAACCGAGGCACAGAGAAGTTAAGAGATTTACCCAAAGTTATACTCCTAGTAAGTTATATGACTTTGGACAAAAACAAAAGCAATGATTTTTAACTCAGCCTGTCTGACTTAAAAAGTTGACTTAACCACTACACTACACTGGGAATAGCAATCTCATTAGAGAGAATTCCATCCAAAGGTGCAGAGGGCAGAGGGAGCAAAGCACATGTTCATTACGGACGGAACAAAAGAGCCCCAGAGGGAGCGTGGTGTCGCAGGAAGCTGGAAAGATGGGCACGGCCGCCCCCGGAGGCGTAAGACACACTGCGGGGGTCACCTGCATCCTGTGGCAGTGGGAACCACCGTGTTTCAGGCCAAAGAGGTCATGTCCCACAGCTGCAGTGTGAAAGGGCAGGGGCACAGCAGAGCACAAAACAGGGTCCCGCTCATCCGGGCGCCTGCGCCAACCTCCAGGCAGAGCTGGTGCGCGTGGGAGGGCCAGGGAGCGGGCGGAGGGAAGCAGTGGAGAGGGCACGTGGGAAGCAGAACCAGTGGCCTCCGTGCATGAAGGGACATGGGTGAGGGCAGGCGAGAGGAAGCACGACTCCTAGGTCTCTGGCTTGGAAAGCTGGTGGCTGCTGACGTCATTCACTGAAATAGGGCGCACAGAGACAGGAGCAAACTGACGGGTGGAAACGATGGACTGTCAAGCTGGAGATGTTCTCATTGTCTCTTGCCCAACGTGGCCTTTCTCCACGCAACCAGGCGAAAGTGGCCACAGCAGCTTTGCAACTCCAGAGGAGAAGGAGCCCTCCTTTTCCCACCATCCATGTGCCATTTCTTGAGAAAGACTCAGACACACTTGGTCTCAGACTAGACTCTGGGCCCCAACTTTGTTGCCAAGAGGATGAGGTCTGATGATCAGCCAAGACTGGGTCAGAAATGGAGAGGGTCCCCACAAAGAACATGGGAAGGGAGCTGGAGCGGTGACCTGATGCTCCTCCGCCCTGCCCAGCCTCACACCCTCTCCTCGCTTCCCTGCCCTCCCTCGGGAGGCGTCAGGGTCGCTCACCCTGAGGGAAGCCCTGGGACTGACGGGAGCTTGCGGGCATGGGGTTTCTCCACAGCCTTTCTCACTGCTGTGCTGCAGGACTACGGAAGGTCCCAGGGAATCTCCGTGGACGCCCTCACTTTCACCCACCATGTGGTTTCCGACACCAGCGATGTCACAGACGAGGAGTTCTCCATCATCATCGAAAAGAAACTCAACATGGTCAGGAGAGCCTTTAAGGTACTGGGATACTTAAAAGATTGGAAAGGGAAATCATTCATATCATTCATTCATTCATTCATTCAATCATTCCCTCAACGAACCCTTATCTGGCACTTACCACAGGCCAGGCACCGGAGAGGCAGACCTACAAGGCACAGTCCCCCTTCAAGTCCAAATGCCATCAAACTTCATCTCTACACTCTCTTTCTAGGGGGAAAGAAAAAATTATAAATAATGAAAGATTTAAGTTGATATAATAAATGAGCTTTTTATCCTTTTATTAATGAAGACAAAATGCTGCTGAGGTCAGAATTTAAAGGTGTTATTTCAAATCAGTGGGCAAACCTCTCATGGCTGCTGCTGGCAGAAATGCCTGCCCCCAGGAACCACCGATTCCAGAGCTCAGCCAGGTCCCAAGTAGAAACCCCCACACACCCGGCCCTCAGCAAACACAGTGAGCGGGACCCCAGGAGGCCACTCAGGCTGGGAGTGCACAGACAGCCGGCGCTGGGCACAAACCCCAGGCCTGCCACCCTCCTGCCATTGTCCCCCACTGATTTGGAGAGCCATGGTTGTCATTTTCTAAATTCCAACTTGTTCTAGGAATCTGGGAATCTATTTTTCTGCTCCAGGACCAATGCTGGGGGTCGGAGGAGGATAGGTGTTGGTCAAAGGATTAAAAAGACATGAAAGGAAGCTCAATATCTCTAGTCAGGTAAATGGAAAGCAAAGCCATTTTGCACCCACTAGGTTGGCTACAACCAAAATGACAAAAAATAGTAATAAATAAATAAATACAGTCATGTGCCACTTAATGATGGGACTGTGTTGTGAGAAATGAGTTGTGAGGTGGTATCTTCATTGTGCAAACATCATGGAGTGTGTTTACACAAACCTCGGTGGTACAGCCTCCTACACACCTAGGCTACAGACCTGTCCGGCATGTCTCTGTACTGGGTGCTGCGGCAGGTGTAACACAGTGGTACTTGTGTATCTAGGCGTAGAAAAGGTAATGTGTTGCTCTGCAGTGTCACTGGACGACGGTAATTTTTCAGTTCCATTATGTTATGGGACCACCGTGGTGTGCTTGGTTAGTCATTGACTGGAATATGGCGCATGGCTGTGAATTGAGGGCCGTAGATGGCCATGTGTCTAGCTTTGGTGTAGAAGCTGCCAAATGGATTTTCAAAGTTGTTGCACCAATCAATAGGGCGGCCAGTAAGTAACAGATTGTTTCACATCCTTGTCAACACTTGGTACTTTTAGGGTTTTAATTTTAGTCATTCTGGTGGGGGTGTAGTGGTATCTCTTTGTGATTTTAATTTGCATTTCCTTGATGGCTAATGAAGCTGAGCACCTTTTAAAATGCTTGTTGAAAAAATAAATAAGTGGGATCTAATCAAATTAAAAAGCTTCTGCACTGCCAAGGAAACTATCATTAGAGTGAATAGACAGTCCACAGAATGGGAAAAAAT